GATAGCGGATACGATTTGTTACGGGCAGTGGGTTCTATATCTTATAATATCATATACGAAATAGGGGGTAGCATTTGTTTGGGCATGGGGTTCTGAATCTTATGATATCTTGCACGAAATAGGGGGTACGACTTATTACGGGCTTGATATATCCCACGAGACAGGGGATACGATTTGTTGCGGGCATTGGTTTCTGCATCAATACATATATGATTGCTGCCTATGATTGGCATGATGTTCCTTACCTGTGATTCAATGGTGCGTGTATGTGTGTGTGAGGCATGGCAAGATATACGATTTGTTGCGTGTGATTGTTGCCTATGATTTACGGTATCTGTAGGAGATATGACAAGATGAATGATTTATTGTTATGATTCGTTGGAATTTGTTCGAGGCATGGCACCAATTGTTGCTGGCGATTTTCTGGCAGTTGTGTGAGGTATGGACGAGAGATATCATTTATTGTTTCTGATCTATGGTAAGATGTCCGATTTTCATGCTTATGATTTGCTGGCATCTGCGTGAGGTCGTCAAGATGTACGATGTGGTGCCTGTGATATGTTGGTATCTGAGTCAGGCATGGCGAGATATACGATCTGATGCCCGTGATTTGCTAGACACCTTTGATTTATTGATATCATCTGCGCGAGGTTAAGATGAAAGACTTGTTGCCTGTGACTCGCGAGTATCTACATGAGGTGTGGCAAGATATACGATTTGCTATGAATGATTTGCTTTCATCAATATGAGGCATGGCAAGATTTTCGATTTGTTGCCTGGGAATTTGCTGCTTCCTATGTGAGGCATGGCAAGATGAATGATTTGCTATTTTTTCTTGCTGGCATTTGTGTGAGGCATGGCAAGATGCACGAGTGGCTGGGATTTGCTGGTTTCTGTGTGAGCAATGGCAAGATATACCATTATTTGCCTATTATTAGAATGTATCTATGTCGACTTGCTGGCTGTGATTTAGAGGTATCTATGTGAGGGATAGTAAGATATACGATTTGATGCCATGATTTAATGGTATCTATATGAGGCATGGCAAGAAATATGATTTATTGATAATGATTTGCTGTAATTTGTAAGAGGCAATATAAGATTTATGATGTGTTGCCTGTGCTTTGCTGGAGGCAGGGGTTGATACATAGTAATGTCATGAACGAGACGCGGGATATTGGGTTCTGCATCTTGCGCATGATCCATATGATATTGGGATACGATTCGTTGTGGTTAAGGGCTTCTGCATCTTGTGATATCGCATACGAGATAGGGGTACGGTTTATCACGGGCATTGGGTTCTGCATCTGGTCTTTCTCACACACGCGCCAGGGGGTACGATTTGTTACAAGCATTGGCCTCTGCAGCTAGTGATATCACACACGAGACAGGGGGCGAGACAGGGGGAACGATTTGCTACGGGCATTGGGTTCTACATTTTGTGATATCTTAGACGAGATATGGGATACGATTCGTTTCAGGGATCGGATTCTCTATCTTGAGATATCTCTTACGAGGTAGGACTTATTGCAGGCATTGGGTTCTGCATCTTGTAAGATCTTATACGAGATAGGAGGTAAGATTGATTTCTGGCATTGCATTTTGGCGTGCGCATATGTGATATCCCATACCAGACTGGGGGGACGATATGATTCGGGTAGTGGACTCTGCATCTTATGATATCCCACGTGATATAGGGACTACGAGTTATTTCGGATGTCGGATTCTGAATCTTATGATATCTATCGCACAGGAGATAGGATGTTAAATCGTTTCGGGCGTGGACATTAGACTCTGTATCTGGTTTTTCTCACACATACGACAGGGGGTACGATTTGTTACGAACAATGACTTCTATAGCTAATGATATCACATACGAGATAAGAAATACGATTTGTTACGGACATGGGACTCTACCCGTGGCCATTTTTTCCACGAGATAGGGGATGCGACTTACTATGGGCATGGGACTCTACATCTTATATATCATATTCGATATAGGAGGTCAGAAATATTATGGATATCGGATGCCATTTCTTATATTTTTTGATATCGCATACGAGACGTGGGATATGAATTGTTATGGTCCTTGATTGCTGCCTCTAAAAATATCATAATCGAGATGATACATGTGCCGGGATCATCGAGAAAAATGGAATGATTTATTATGGGCATTGGGTTCTACATCTTATGATATTCCTCACGATATTGGAATGCGATTCGTTGCGGGCAGGGGATTCTTTATCTCTGAGAATCTGAAAATCGTCAATACATGGATAAATGAGACTATCTCTTGCCTCATTTCGGGGCAAGAGACTTATACTCCCAAAAATATCAATTCACTACGAAATCTTCATTGAGAGAGATATATATTCCCAATAGAAATCAAAAGAAATATATTCAATCCTCGAAAAAGATATATATGAGATAAACGAGATACTTCCATCTTCCTAGACACAAACACGGTCCCACCACCACCCCGAATTAAATCCAAGAGAAAAGAAGTGCCCCCCAACCAAACGACGAAAAAACACATCTGAGATAGGGGGGCGTTTTCTTATGGGCTTCTCATACATGCGACAGGGACTACGATTTATTACGAATAGTGGCTTCTGCAGCCAGTGATATCACCCACGAGGCAGGGGGGTACGATTCACTACGGGCATTGGATTCTATATTTTATATTATCATGAATGAGATATGGGATATGATTCATTCTATATATTATGATATCGCACACGAGATAGGGAGATATCTTTTCATGGACACTGGATTGATCATCTTATTTTATGATAAAGAAGATAGAGACGATTTATTATAGGCATTGAGATCTACTTCTTATGATATTATATATGAATATGGCAGACGATAATATGGATAATGGAATCTGGAATTTATAATATCATTCTGTGCTCCCAAAAATACAATTCATTACGAATGCAAGGAGTCTTAAATATCGTCCAGAATAAACACAAACAACAAAATCATTTCGTCATCCCGAGACTCCCAATCGTATATTAAACAACCCGCCGCCACCCCCAATTCGCCAAGAATCTCGAGAAAACGAAATTCCAAAGCCAACACGCACGCACACGCCGGACGAAATTCTATACAAAGGGAGGACTTATGCATCCCAAACACTACAAATAGCCGCCGTGACGTCTAAGCCGACAACTCGAGAATGTCTCGAATGAATTCCCGCCGCGGCGCTACGATCATTCCCTTGTTCCACCTTATAATATCATATTCTAGATAAGAAATGAAATTGTCAAAAAAATATTAGATTTTGCAATTCATAATGTCCATGATGAGATAAGAAATACAATATCTCATACATATTGATTTCTACACCTTATCATGCAAGAGATATAGTACGATTTATTATATTTGAATTATTTCGAAAATTTTTCTTCTTATTAGAAAGAAGAAAAGATGAATGTAATAACCATATTTAACAATCGTTAATATCATCATCACAAGCTTCGATTTATCGAAATATATTTATTAAAGAAATCCTCATAATAAAGAATCCCATGAATGAAGCAATTATACAATCATAAAATCGCAATTCATTAAATTAGGCATCAAGAAATGAAAACAATTCCTAATATAATTTCATCAATTCTCCCAATCAATTTCAATCAAACAATATTGAATATTCTCCATACTTCATCCCCTATCCCAATATAATATAACGAAAGAAGATCCTTCAAATTTCTTCCAGATCAAATCGTATCATTCAATACGAGAATCCTATATATTCCCAAATTCGAATTAGATAGCATCCAGAATACGACCAAAAACAAAAACATAATTTCGTACTCGCAAAATTCCCAATTCGAAATTGAAACATTTATCATTCCCGATATCAAGGAAGAACCTGACAAAAGAAAATAGAAATTCAAAAAAATCAAACAAATCTCTAGACATGTAGGAGGCAAATTCTCTCAATATATATATATATATATATGTATGGTGCCCCCCCCCCCCCATGTACCTACCATTTTCTGCTCTTGCGAGGTCACCCGGCTGCACGACGACGCACTCTTGGCATTACTTGGTTGTTTTTTTTTGTCTCGAGGGTTTCGATTTTCGGTAGTCTGCTCACATGAGGGAAGAGTGGCTGGGAGCACCCAATTCACGGATAACATTGGTTTTACCAATATTTTTGAAGGATGGAGCCCGAAAACATCGGTAAAACCAATGTTTTCCATAAAATCCATGGTTTTCAGACCATGTGGCTTGGAACACCCAATTCACGGATAACATTGGTTTTACCAATGTTTTTGAAGGATGGAACCCGAAAACATCGGTAAAACCAATGTTTTCCATAAAATCCATGGTTTTCAAACCATGTGGCTGGGAGCACCCAATTCACGGATAACATTGGTTTTACCAATGTTTTTGAAGGATGGAGTCCGAAAACATCGGTAAAACCAATGTTTTCCATAAAATCCATGGTTTTCAAACCATGTGGCTGGGAGCACCCAATTCACGGATAACATTGGTTTTACCGATGTTTTTTGGCTCCATCCTTCAAAAACATTGGTAAAACCAATGTTATCCATGAATTTCCTGGTCTAAGCCACATGGTTTGAAAACCATGGATTTTTTGGATAATATTGGTTTTACCGATGTTTCTGGGCTCCAATCATCAAAAACATTGGTAAAACCAATGTTATCCATGAATTTCCTGGTCTAAGCCACATGGTTCGAAAACCATGGATTTTTTGGATAACATTGGTTTTGCCGATGTTTTTCAGCTCCATCCTTCAAAAAACATTGGCAAAACCAATGTTTTCCATGAATTTCGTGATCTGAGGCTCTCCCCCAGGCACATGGTCTGAAAAGCTGTAGGCACATGCTTGTCGTTCGACTCTGAAGCTCGAGCTATAAAAGCACGTAGCGTCTGTATCTCTCGCGCCATTTCGTCATTCATGGCTGGGATTGGTCGAGACGGGAATGTGAGTGTGGAATGCGGCATTGAGGCCACCAGAGGCATGCATCTATCCAAGTTGCTGCCCTTCCCCACATGGACTGATCAGGCCGTAGGCGGCGTATCTGTCCTGGATCTTCCACTTCAGGGTCTATCGGGCAACCAGTCTCTTCTCAAGCACTTTGTTGACATCATCAACGACGTCCCTCCTCCCGACAAAAACATCATTGAGACAACAGTCAACAGTGGCAGCTGGGGCAGACGCGAACTCCCCGAACCATTCTGTCCCAAAACAGACATGGATGTCAAGCTAGTCACTCAGTTTGTGGTGATCCCACAAAACAACGGTAAAGTATGTGTGGTGACGCACATGTACTCCCCCGACCTGAAACTTAGCAAGTCCACTGTGGAGGCACTTTGCTACAGCGCCCCACAAACCCTGCAGTGGCAGGGCCACGCCATGACCTTCAGGAAAGGTTGGCAATGGTTCTTAGAGCAGATGGGCGGTTGGCAGTGTAGGCAATACGCTCTGTCCCACGTGCTCCCGTCCGAAAAAGGTCGTGCTGACAAAGCCGGCAACTACATGTCAGGTCTTACAGAGGAGGAGGTTGACAAGGGGTTTGCCTTCATCGAGGAAGAAGCTGGCCGACTTGGCAGCGAGTGGAGACGAGTCCAGTGGACAACCAAGAACTTAAACATCAACCCCGAATCCCCGATTTTTGGTTGGCCGCTCGGACTTGTGGAGAAGTCATTGAAGGCCATTCAGACTGACGGCGTCCTCACACTCCCCACTGAGGATTTCTACTTTACTCTTGCAGACTTAGACTACTCATTTCTGCAATTCGCCGGCCGCCACGTCATCAAGATGATGAAAACCCATGCAGTGGGCATCATTGGGGGGCCTGGCAGCGGCAAGACGCCACTTGCTAGGATCATCGCCCTTTGTGCCTCTCGCTACTGGAAACGTGTCCTGAATGTCACAACCCCGGCATCCTATCGCGAATCCAGTGAGTTTGACTTCTTTCGAGGCCAGCCAGGGCGAAAAGACAGACCAGACATCTACGATGACGGATGTCTCGCCGATGAACCCGTCCGCAAGTTGAAGGGCTTCACCGACGTGGGCTGTACCATGCTCACAAAGGAGCGGTGGGGAGCCGCAAAGTTTGTGAAGGGACAATTCCGTGTTTTCGTTTGCAATGACTACGTGCTCACAGGATTCCTCAAGGAAAATCAGGACATTCGTCCTGGCATCACCATTCGCATGTCACATGAGGACTTCGTGAAGGTCATCGCCCCCATGTTCCCCAGCAACACAGAGGACCCACACATTATGGCTGTGTTGAAGCGAGCAAACGTTATCGTCAATGCCGGCAAAATCATGATGTACCGCAAAGCAACCGAAAATGAAGTCAGCGTCCCTTGCCTTATCATGGAAAAAGCTGTGGATTTCTTGAAGCCTGCAGCTGCAAAGCGGTACATGCAGTATCGCGACGCGATCAGTACAAAACATGCAGACTTTGATGAAGACGTCAAGTGGGAGGCTGCCTATGTGGATGCTATCCTCGCTGATCAGGCCCCTCCGTTGCCACGACCCACGATTGTCGGGGGTTCTCGAAGCCCGTTCCTTGACAGCGAGGGTGCAGCCCCATCAGCAGCACCCACGACACCACCTCCATCTGCCGCGCCTGCTGTGCCAAAGGCATTTCCGAAATATAAAACCTATGGCTAAAGTAATTTCACTAAATATAACACCTATATACTTGTGTTTTTTTGGTATTGTCAAGTCTGAAACTATATTTGCTTATGTCGCAGGTCCACATCAAGCAAGAACAGCATCGCTTTCATCGTTGCCTGTCGACCCTTTCCGGTGAGGTCATTGATATTTGCTCGCCGCCCAAGAAATCTGCCCGCACGGACCACTTGCTTGAAGTGAAGACCGAGAGCATCAATCAAGCAGGGTCTTCCTGTGACGATCGCACCGAAAGTCCTCGAGCCAAGCCCGTGGACTTGGAGCCTCCCTCTCCGAAGTCTCCACTTGCACCTGGCAGCCCCAAGTCTCCACTTGTGCCTGGCAGCCCCATGGATCTTGCAGAGGAAGTCCATGACCCTATGGATGATCTCTCTGATGAACTTGAGGCTGAGCTGGACAAATTGGAGTCTGAGATTGACTCGTGAACACCATCGTCGTCTGCTGAGAGCACACAAGCACATTCCAGGAAGTAGACACACCGCCGTGCACAAGTTGCTGAAACACACACACGCACACACAATGTGGTCTTAAGGTTTAGGATATATGTGCTAAAGATTTACGAGTTAGGGTTTAGGATATAAGAGCTACAGATTTACGAGATAAGGTTGAGGATATAAGTGCTGAAGATTTACGAGTTAGGGTTTAGGATATAAGTCCTAAAGATTTACGAGATAAGGTTGAGGATATAAGTGCTACAGATTTAAGAGTTGCAAGGTCTAGAACTTGTAGCTTCGTATTTGCCTCACACTTTTTTTTGATGCTTATAAGGGAGATAAATGAGTAAGCAGTGCACAGCATTTTGACATGTCTGCCCAGCTTGCAGGATGAGGTATAAAAAAAAACTGCTCTGCCTGCACACTTGCTCGTTTCATGTTTGGCATGATCACTCGGGATGCGTGCTCGCCCATGTTTCTGCGCGCCTTCGCAAATTTTATACAAACAGTTTTGGTGTAGACACATTTTTTTCAAAGCCGCTTCGTAGCCGTGCCCATGCAGAAGCACCAGAAGTTCAATCCCTTCCCCGACCGCAAGAAAGGCGTGCACCGCATGATTCACAAGAAGCCCAGCACCAAGAAATCTTCGTCCTGGCTCAAAGTTCCCTATGTCAAAGACAAGAACAAGGATGCCTTCGTACGAGTGGAGCAAGCCAAATGGAAACGCACCATACAAGAGCTCTTGTCTGCAGATGAGAGGGAGATCATTCGCATTCTCACTGAGGATGGTCTTCTACCTGATTGGAAAGGAGCCCCATGCCCTCATTGTAGACACGGCAAACTCAGCGCACTCACAACCAATGGCCGGGACCAGATACTCAGGCATCGCTGCAATGGCAAAGGCTGCCAGCGATACTTCCTCCCCCAGCATCTGCATCCCATCTTTTCCTCAACCAAGGGGCCGGAGGGCCACACGCTGCAGATGCAGGCAGCTGCCTTGCTACTGCGTCTGCTGCACGTGCCCCTGTCAAGCATCCATGTCCTCACACACATCAATCACAAGGCATTGGAGAGAATGAGCAGAAACCTGATGATCACCCGAAAGGGCTATGTGCAAGAGAAGGAGAAAAAAATCAAGTTCGGAGGATGTCCCCGTGCCTGGAAGGAAGTGGAAGCGGACGAGGCAACCTTTGACAAGCGCACTCTCACCCCACAGGAACATCATCCGGAAGACGGTAAGACGGTGATGTGGGAACAGTGGGGGGCCATAGTTCAACGAGGATGCCCAGAGACTCTAGTCCTCACCAAGCTCAACCCTGCCATGACTGTTCCCAGGGCACCTGGGCCAGGAGCCATCCGGAAGGTTGATTGGAAGCCGTGTGCTCAGAAGTTCCTTGTGAATCGCAACGTGATCCTTCACCCCGATTCCGCTCGTTCATACCGCATGAAGCTGCCCGGAGTCCTGCACGATGCGGTGGTCCACAAGAAGCGAAGGGTCAAGAAGAAGGGTAAGTGGGTCTGGCTGAAGCCTACCTTCGTTCGCATTTCGAAACACAAGCTTCCTGACGGTCGTAAGATTTCTTGCAAAGCAGGAACGCAAATTGTGGACCGGGCATGGAAATTCATCAAGGAGAGGCTGTCCAGGAACCAGCATGTCAAGTCATCTTCCCTCATGCTCACTGCACAGATCCGGAGTGCACAGTATGAATACTGGCCCCGGAAAGATGACCTTTGGGTGTGCACGGGCAAGCTGGTGGCCCAGTACATGAGGGGCATCATCGGCAAGCCCTAATGCCACAAGCAAATTGCTTTCATGCACATTCCCGTTCTCGCTTACATTCATTGCCCTTTCTTGATCGTATGCATATCGCAATACTCGCGTGCTCAGCAATGCTGCATATACCAGGATTACACACACACCCGCACTCGCAGGAGCAAAAAAAATGGCTCGAATTACTGATGGAAAATTTTTGGCAACCAAAATGACATCTCAGGTCACATGGCCGCATTCATCTTGGCTGCCTCTTGGAAGTGTGTGTCTGGTTCAGGGTTTAGGGTTTAGGATTTAGGGTTTAGGGTCTAGGGTTTAGGGTTTAGGGTTTAGGGCTTAGGGTTTATTTTTTAGGCGTGTCTGTGAGAGAGATGGGACGATATACAGAATATTCTATGACTTCAACCCAAAAAGGGTAGGTACATCGGGGGGGGGGTAGCATATGTATATATATATATATATATATATATAATTTTCGAGTAGAAACAAGATCAAAGAATCGATGCGAGAAGGCGAGATCCCCATATTGAAAATTCCTCCCCCATTCCAATTCTCGATAGATTTCAGATTCCAATCAGAAAAAAAAGAAAAAATAGAACAACAAAGATTTATATGAAAAAAGAAAGAATCTCATATTCCATTCCTATGAAAGAACATCATCTTTATGAGAATGATATTTATTATATGATGAATAAATCGAGATTTTTGCACCATCAGAATATTTTTTTACTTTGGATAGTTTATCTCTTTTTTATTTCATATATTTAAGAATCTTCGAATCTTTCGCCTTTCTAGGATGCCTCGTAATTGGGGGTGGTAGCGGGCTTTTAAGCACGTCGAAGTGTCTTGGAGAGTTCGAAATTCTTCTTATTTATCTGGCTATAGATTCCCTTTCATTTGCTTGGGCGCACATGCCACTTGGGCGATATGTTTCACCTCGTGTAAATCTTTTTCAATCGTTGCATGCTTGTCCTGATCTTCCTGTTAGCTTGTCCTACCGCGATCTTTAACTCAAGATCCCGCAAAATCCAAATATTGAGGAAACATGCGCTCACAGAGGTCGCGATCTGGATCTCAAGAGCTACCCAAAACACGTGATCGAGAGAAGAAACACGTACAAACAACATATTTGGAGCAACATGAGCTCACGGACACCGCGATCCCAAGCTCTCCAGAACACGCGCTGGAGACCAAAAAAACGTACGAAGACAAAACCACCATGTGGTATTGATAGGACTAGACCGAATTGTCGATTTTAAATACGTGCTTCTACGGCATATTCAGGGCTCACATAGACCGCGTTCGATCCAGATCCACGCCACTCTCCGAAACATGCGCTCTTCAGAGAGCACACGCGCATACAGCGCACGATTTATAACGCAACGACTGCGCATCGGTCGCAACCCCGGTCTGTTTTAGAGAAAACTACTGGTATATAGATTCAATACCGCCCCACCCCCCCCCCTCCCATTATCCGCGATAGTTTCACATTTGATGTTCCTTGTGTCTCGTGCCTACTTCTCAGGGCGGCGCGGAAACAAGAACCACAAAACAAAGAAGGGGCAACGCATGGCCCCGATTCCCTCGCTTCACTAGCTTGTCCTTCAGCAAAAGCAAAGGTCAGCCAGGGCTTAGGGCATTCACCTGTTGAAGGGGGCAACTCAGAAGCAGAGAGGCTTCCTGGCTTTAAGGCTTCGGGTTTCGGGTCTAGGGCTGTGTGCCGAACAAGCCCTCGATCCTACAGCTTGCAATTTGGGGGGGCTTTCGGAAGCCAGGGCTACATGTCGAAGTTTAAAGACTGGTCTGGCGCAAATGAGAATTCTGAGAAGCTGGTCCTAGGGCCTGCTTAGGGCTTATATGGGAAGGTTCAGGGTTTAGCACAGGGCTTAATGGATTAACTGTACTTCAAAGTCTAGGGGTTGGTGCCCAAGCCAATTTTTTGCTTTGCCCCGCGGTCATCGCCGAGCCATGGCGTCCTTGCAGCCAGAAACCCTGAACGGAGATGGGTGTTTAGGGTTCTTGGTTTAGGGCCCGGGGGCGTAAGGTCTTTTGTCCTTTCGGGGTGTAGGAGCTCGACGGTACCTACGGTCCATGGTTTCTGGGGGCCTTGCGGCTTGCAGATTCAAGGTTCCCTATTCAGGGCGTCTTGCTTGTTTCAAGACACAGCCTCACACAAGGCTTCTCATAAAGTAATGCGCAAAAGCATGTGGTGATTTCTGACCTTCCCCTAAGGACACACATCCCCACTAAAAGGCTTGCTTGTCTCAAGGCTGTTGTCGGCCCTACATCCGCCTAAACCCCACAACAACCCTCAACCCTGCACCTAATCCCTCCGTGAAAGCCTCTCCTCGAGGTTCTAGAGTTTAGGCGAGAAACCCTTGTACAACCCTGTAACCCCTAAACCCAGACTCAAGTCAGTAGGTGGCGCAGCCTTCGTCATCAAACTCTGCATCCCTGCGGAACTTTATCTCTTTTTGGGGGAGGGGACACCTGTTACAATTCGGGCTGAAAGGCTTACGGCGTCGAAAGTGGGAGCATGATCTATACGGTCTAGGGGTGAGCCTACAGGTCCCCAAAAAAAAACCTGTTCTGCCCCCTGGCCCCATCCCAACAGAAACCCCCACCAGTCACTCAACCCCAAAAAGCCCCAAAACCCTAGGACCTAAACCCACAACACGAAACCCTGAACCCACGATGCCGGGCTGGGAGGGGGGGGGGGGCAAGCGGACGTCACAAAAGGGACCGTCCACGGCGACCGCCAGCCTCAAGCATGCTGCCATTTTCCTGAACGCTTGTCCCAGGGTAGTTTCGTGGTCTTCAGTATGGGCCCTTAAATGGGGAGCCCTTACATACCCTTTCTATACCCAAGAGAACCCAGGGGTCCCCGCTTCACCACTCTCTAAGGAAGGTAGAGGACCCAGATTGAGGGACCATGAGACTACCCTAAGAGCTTGGGATCGAAACAAGCCACACTCCAGGGTGTATTGTTAGGGTTTTGTTTGGGCTTAGGGTTTGGGTGGGGGGGGAGGGTTCAGAGTTCTCAAGGTTTGGGGGCTTTGAGGGTTTGGGGTTTGAGGGTTTGAGGGTTTTTGGGTTTTAGGGCTTCCGGAAAGTTTCGGGGTTTTAAGATTTAGGTTTTGAGGGTTTTAAGGTTTCGGGCCTAGGGATTTTGGAGTTTTCGGAACGCAGGGCTGAGGGACACGTTTTAAACACAGCAGCT